ACTGATGCAATGCTACATTTCTCCAAACCTGATGAAGAAACAAACACATCTACATCTCGGATGGGCTGTGGGTGAGTACATTGTCTGATCATTTTCATGTTATGGTTGAACTGTTCCTTTAAATCAACTGTATGTAGTTTATGTATTTTTATGAGTTTGAAGCTTGTACAGTGAAGTGAAGCCATAAATATATCAGTAAGTAAAAAAAAGTAATTTTTAAATTGAAAATCTATATTTATAGAATATGGTAGGGTGTTTCATATTGACTCTAATATTTTATAAATACTTTGAGCAGGTGAGAAAGGGGACGGTTCTTAAAATGTGAAAGATGATTAGTTGCCCAACGAGTGAACTGTCCAATGGCATTTTTCTTTTCAACGCAAGCGTTTGACAAAACACACACACAAAAACTTATTTTTTAAAAAAAAAAAGATATTTATTTTATCCTTTAAAATTGATTTATTCATGTATTATTTAACTACATCTTTAAAAACATAAATTTTAAGTTTAAATACAACTATTAATGTCCATTAAAAAAGTTATTTATTTTTATGTTTGAATTAGAAAATTGCTAACTGAATAATTGAGTCATCTGTACTGGGATAGATTCTCAGAGTCAAAACTCCAGTAACTCTGACATACAATCGATCGATCAGCTTAAGGTCAGATGGAGAGAGAGAGAGAGAGAGAGAGAGAGAGAGAGAGACAGAGCGAGAGAGAGAGGAGGAGGAGGACGAGACCATTAGATAGAAACGACTGCAGAAAGCCAATCACACTCACACTGAGCCATTATCTCATCATGTCACAGTAAATCCAGAGAGACAGACTGAATCAGACACTGAGCATCTACAGCTGATGGACCTGCAGCGTGCACACACACACACACACGCACACAGAGAGAGACACACACACACACACTGGAGGAGTGAACACTGACCACGATGTTATTACTAGCGTTGAGGACTGTGCTGATGGCCGTCGTGGGCATTTCTGACCGCTGCTCACTGCTCAATTTAATGTAGTGAACTGAGGAAATACACACACACACACAAACTCACACACACACACACACACACACACACAGGTTTGTTTTTGTGAAAAGTGGGGACTCTCCATAGGCTTAATGGTTTTTATACTGTACAGACCGTATATTCTATTGCCCTACACCAACCCTACCCCTAAACCTACCCCTCACAGGAGACTTTCTGCTATTTCAGATTTTCAATACACTCCATTCTGTGTGATTTATAAGCGTAGTTTCATTCTCAAAAACTATGAACACAACTACAGCAAACAAGGTTTAACATCACAGGAATAAAATACATTACAAAAGAGAGCAGTTTACCAGTTTAATGCTATTAAAATGGCACAAAATTACTGTTTTAATGCATTTTTGGTGAGCAGAAGAGACTCCTTTCACAATTATTCCAACAGTGAGGATTCATCATTTATCATGATGCGTTTTGTGTGCTAAATTCTTAACTAAATAAAACCATCACAATTAAAAAAAAAATCAAATAACATTTAAAAACAACATAACACTGTACAATAAGATTTAATTTGTTACACTACACCAGTTAACATGAACTAACAATGAAGGAACCACATTTATTAATCTTAGTATTGTTTTACTTAAACATTTTTTAAATTAAAAGTGTATCTGTTAACATCCGTTAAATGCAACTAACATGAACAAACAAGTGAACAAATGTACTTGTTAACAATATATCGCTTATTGTTAGTTCATGTTAGTTAATGCATTAACTAATGAGAGCTAACTGTATCAAAGCAAGCCTGTGAAGTTTTTCACTGAGATCCTCTGACAGCTCATAAGGCTGGGCAGTATACAGAATATTTACTACAGAATTATATTGGCAAGATAAATAAAGTAAGTCAATATTGTAATGGTTTAAATGCTTTTGATGCTTTATATTTGCTCATAAAGACCATGTCAGCAGGCCGGTTTCACATCTGCAAGCATCAAGACAGAGATGTTTCAACAGAGTCTTGAGTTTAAACTTCAAGAGCAAAAACACTGATCGAGTTCAGTTCATTTACATGAATCACTTTTGAATGGTTCGTTACAATAAATCGATTCAAAACAATCAGATGCTTCATCATTCAAAAATGATCACTGAAGTCATGTGCAATTTAACATGCTTTCGTAAAATGATATATATAGGTCAGTATTGCTATGTATTGTCCACTTCATGTATTAAATATCATTCTTGTGTTCATTTAGTGAAAAATGTTGTGGGAAACATGCCTTGATTATTTGAACTAAAGCTTCTTCTGGCAACTATGACTGTTTGGTTGAAAAGACGTTATTAAAAAGAGTTTCAGAGCAAATGCATAAATATTGGAGGTGAATACATATTTCAAATATCATCAAAAGGCTTAAAAATATCAATTTTGTTTTTGAAGTCTGAGAAATGAATGACTTTGTGACTGATTTTCCCAGCGCTGTAGATCCAGTGAGAATGATTCGATCACAGCAGGAGTTTTGGAATAAGGACACTAAAGTACACATAAATTTAGACGCAATCATGCAAATGAATGTGTACTGAGAGTCCTCTCAATGAGAAACAAAATCAGTAAAATCCTTTTCATTTCACTGATCTGCCACCGTTTCAGCATCTCATTAAAGGCCAGAAACATGCGCTACACATCATACACTGCCAGTGATGCAAGTGCAAGAACACTGTAGGACTGAAGGGGGCGATAGAGTTTCCATCAAATGTCTGTAAGTGACTGAAAAGAAGATTCCTTATCTGGAAGAGAAAACTGAGCACTGAAGAAGGCAGTTTACAGCAATGGCAGCTTGAGTGACGCTTGCAGCAACACTGAAATCGTGACTCAAACTTGCATGGCATGCATACGAATGATGTGCATACGAAATGTAATGCAGAGCTAGAAGAGACTGTGCTCATGTTCTTGTGTATAGTACGTTTTGGGCCTCAGAACCACATGTGATTGTGTTTTTAGGGAGACAAAGTGCAAAGTGGAAGACAGATGTAAAACTATGCAAGTAAAATAATTAAATTTCACATAATACTTTAACAATAAATCAACACTTTTTGCCATCTTCACAGTACAGTGACATCATCTCTCATGCATGATTTCCAGAGACGAACATCAGCTCTAATCCAAACCCTAGTGAGTGACCTCCCTGTTTACATTAGAGATAGAAATGAAACACTCATGAGCTGAAACAAAACTCCACAACAGTAAGCCAACTGCTCAACATCCTGGACACAAAAATACAAGAATCTTTCCAAAACCTCACGAACGCCTCAAAAAATAAAGATTTGATAAATGCATGTTAATGGGTGCACATGCATGTTCATCTACATGTATGCTATGGGATCTTCTGCCAATCTACTGGATGATAAAACATGATGGAAAAAGGTCAGACCAACTGCAACATCATTGTCTAGCTGGGCAGCTCACTGGGTTTAGGATCAGAGCTCATGTTTCTGCTTCTACCGTCATTATGCTAGAAACACAGAACATCCAAAAACAAACCCTACAAGATCCTCAATCATCCTGTAGAGTCCAGCATTCAGTGCGTGTCGTGTTTTCTCAGTCAAGTCAATATTCTTAACTACCATCACACATTTATAAACTCACCCTGCAGCTCTAATGATCTGTGGGCGGCTGCTAAAACTCACTCCTCCCACATAAAAATGAAGCGAAAGATGCCGTTCTAACGCCACGCTCACGTCACGTCAGAATTACTGCACGAGATCCGAACACCGACACGGAAATGATGCGCTTCTAGAGCAACGATGAGCTTAATTATGTTTAATTTGTGTCTTTAGCTCATTTTCAGACGTTTAAACTGTCCTGCATTCAATGAAATATCAATCGAGAACCAGAGGTGAATTAACAGTAGGCAAAAAGTGCCTGCTTGTGGACACTTTACTATCCCATGAGGCCACGGCAGAGTAATTTTGAACGGCACTAAAACCACGCCAAGCTGGTTTCATCTGGTCAGAGGAGAACTGGCCCCCGACTGAGCCTGGTTTCTCCCAAGGTTTTTTCTCCATTCTGTCACCGATGGAGTTTTGGTCATCTTTGGCTTGCTTAGTTTGATACGCTTGCTATTGTCCTCTTGCATTACTGACAAACTATTTTCCGGTTGACACTGTAAAGCTGCTTTGACAGAATCAGTATTGCATAAAGCGCTATATGAATAAAGGTGACTTGACTTAAAGCGGTGCAACTGACACCACAGATGACAACATGAAGTACGTCCACATCCACACACTGATATACAAGAACAAGGAAAGTACACATTCCTCATCAAATGTAGTACTTAGACACTATCAGATTTCAGATGCATTTCTTGTCTTGTTCAGTTTTTTGTCTCGTTTCCCAGTGCAAGCATCGAAACATCCTTGGGGAAAACATGACAACCTAAATTTAGTCAAGTTTATGCTTTAAACAAGACAATTTGCCAACAATTTTCTCAGAGAAACAAAACGGCATATCCTCCACGGTGTTTCAAGATGCTTTTAGAAGAATATGACTTTCTCAACCACAATACTCATAATGGCAGTAATTTCGACAAGAACGCAGCATCATACGGCACCTTTCACGTGCTACACACTCAGTGTCACCTAACGACCGCTACACACTCCAGCTGGTGAGGTTCTTAGTCTGTTTTTGCCTATGAATGAATTAACTGAATGTTCCAGAACATTCTACGCTACTCCATGACTACTGCATCTCCTCCGAGGCGTCCAGTGTAATGCCCTGAAGAAGAAAAGACACTGTGTTGCTGTGGCTGTGAGCTTTAGCTGGTCAGTAGCACAACAGGAAACAGATTTGTGTCATTCGAGACATACAGTACATGGAGACGAGTTCCCGGAAGAGACCAAACAGTGTCCCATACCTGGACCGAACCGCGCATTTCATCTGTTCTTACGGCAGCCAGAACCTACAGTCTGGCTGCACGTCTTGGTGTCAACGGGGGATGCATCCCTCTCAGTTTCCTCACTTGTTGCTTCAATCCAAGGATCGAATCCGTACAGGCACCTCCCATCTTTATTCCGGACCGCTAGGCTCCCCAGTACTAAACTCCCAGTGCTGTTGCACTTCTTGGCCAGCGGCGGCGCCAGCGAATCAGGCAGGTGCAGAGACGTCAAAGAGTAGCTACTCAGATTATCCGATAACTGTTCCGCATTACCAGCCTGACCGGGTCCTCCATCCCTAACCCCGGATCCAGTGTCCTCATCGGAGGGGTCCTGTCGGATCCAGTTAAGATTTGTGCAGTCACTGTATCTGCTCCGATTCCTGTGGCGCCCCCTGGTGGCCTGGAGGTTGAGCAGAGACTGTGGAGTGCGGGATCTCTGGCTGAGTTCTGGAGGAGGGACGTGGGTTCTGCAGATCAGGGGTAGCGTAGAGACGCCCTCCTCCAGCATGGTCTGCAGGCTGCTCACCGAGCTGCCCGTGGCCAGCGAGGAGTTACTGTGGGACGTCTGCAGCAAGAAGTGAAAAGAGAGTCAGGAAAGAGAAACAAACCTAGATCTGGACATGAGAGGGCTTAGTGACCCAGATCTGCACAGAAAATTGGCAAAACCGATTGGTGGGGTTTGCCCAACCTACGGGAGTCAAGGGTGCACCAGTCCAACTAGAAATCAGGTTTACACAAGTGTGCCGCACAAGTCCTGAAAAGTGAAGCCAAAACATTTAGATTGCCCCAAGTGGCTGGACCCAGTATAGGTCGTAAATGTAATCTAATGGCACGTGAGACAAACTAAAGAATCAAATTACACTTCAAATAATTTTTTTCCAAAGATGGTTTCCATCATTTTAGGTAGTTCTTAGCATGGTGATGTATGTATAAGTGTTTGATTTTAGTTTGATTTTAGTTAGTTATTTGATGTTATAAAAACAGGCTGTGGTGTCATGATTGTGAGCTTGCGATTGGGTCTGCGGGAGTTTGGGCGGGACTTTGATACCGCGGCTCCACCTCACGATCACTACTGCGCAGACTCTGGCTCCAAATGACATAATTTCCACAGCGGCCATGCTGAGATGTTTTGACTTCACTTTTCTATAGTGGAAGGAAGTAGAGCCAGTTAGTAGCAAGTAAATTAGATATCAAGCCTATTGGATAAAGGTGGGCTGCCGTCAAATTTCAAAACAGGCGATGTTGTAGAATCAGTGGGCGGAGCTAAACAGGCAGTGTTGTAGAATCAGTGGGCAGGGCTAAACAGGCTGTGCTGTAGAATCAGTGGGCGGGGCTAAACAGGCTGTGCTGTAGAATCGGTGGGCGGGGCTAAACAGGCAGTGTTGTAGAATCAGTGGGCGGGGCTAAACAGGCTGTGCTGTAGAATCGGTGGGCGGGGCTAAACAGGCAGTGTTGTAGAATCAGTGGGCGGGGCTAAACAGGCTGTGCTGTAGAATCGGTGGGCGGGGCTAAACAGGCAGTGTTGTAGAATCAGTGGGCGGGGCTAAAC